TCATAGAGGCCAGCGACCTTGGTGAAGGGGTTGATCGCGACGAGGACGGGCCCGGCGCGCGTGTAGATCGAGCGCGCCGCGTACCGCGCCATCACCACCCGCAGCAGCGAAGGCTCGTTGAGGTGAGACAGCGCGCCGACGTCATCCACGCCGTCGAGCGTCTCGGGGTTGGCCGGCACGAGGGCGGCGGGCTTGACCCAGACAGGCTTGGCGCTCACGTCGCCGCCCTCCACCAGGCTGACCAGCACCATGTCCGGCGACGGAGGAGCCGCGTCCTCTGGCCGGCGGCGCTGCACGACTCCGAGCGTGAAAGGAAGCGCCTCGTCGTCGTCCTCTGGCGGCGCTCCGGCGGGCGTCTCGCTGATTGGCACCCAGACGCGGGCGCCGGGAGCGGCCACGTCGCCGTCGGCGGCGGCGGGAGCTGCCATTGGGGGAGGCTGGGGACGGGAAGCTAGCGGCGGTCGGCTGTGGACGCGCCGTGGCGGCGGGGGGAGGCTGGGGACGGCGAGGCATCTGCGACCTATGCTACTCGTACCTGCTCCGGGAGCTCTGCCAGGGGCCCCTCCACTCGCCTGCACCTGCTCGAACCCTGAGCACTGTGCCTACCTACCTACCTACTGTGCGGCGTTGCACGCTCGAGGTCGTGCATGATGTAGTAATTATTGTCTTGAGTAATGCGCTTCTCTCGACAGAGAGCGCTAGCCTCTACCCCTTCGGTCCGTCGAATCTCGGCGCGGCAGATGCGACGCCGAGACTGACGAAACCTCCCTGGTGGTGGGCTGCTGAGCCTCCCCCACACACGAGAACACCACTGGGACACCCATGACACACTAGAACAGGTATGCCACGAGGCGGGATGAGACTAGTAAGACGTCTCGGACGAGACTCGTCACTCGACGGAAACCTAAATCGTGAACATCGGGTTGCTGCGCAGTCATCCAGATGTCAACTGCACCTCAGACAGTCGCCGGCGTGGGCGGGAGGGGCGACTGTATCTGAAGGCGCGGTAGCGGTAGACGGGCAAGCCACAGCTGGCAAGATGTCGATCGCCATCGACCTTGCTCGAGCCGCGGCGGGGCCGTGAAAGTGAAGCGTGTCAGGATCGGCTGCTCGGCTGTGAACTGACCTCGCTGTGAATGTGACCGCCGTCACCGACACTATTGTCCATGAATGGTAAGACTGAGAGTAGAGTAGAATCGGGTCGAGCGACCGGCCCAGTCGACCGTCCCCTCCCCTCAGCAGAGCGGGCGAGAATCCTAAAGGATTCACGCCTCCTCTGCCAGGGGCCCCTCCACTCGCCTGCACCTGCTCGAACCCTGAGCACTGTGCGGCGTTGCACGCTCGAGGTCGTGCATGATGTAGTAATTATTGTCTTGAGTAATGCGCTTCTCTCGACAGAGAGCGCTAGCCTCTACCCCTTCGGTCCGTCGAATCTCGGCGCGGCAGATGCGACGCCGAGACTGACGAAACCTCCCTGGTGGTGGGCTGCTGAGCCTCCCCCACGCTCGGCCTTTGATGTGGTATGTTGGAAGGTCGACGCCCGGAACGGCCTAAGCTCAGCTGAGCCCCACGCATAGACCTCCTTGAGCAGCGAATTCATGTGTGACAGATTCCGGTTCTGATCGGCTGTACGCATGAGAGCACCAGCCAGGCGCTAGCAAGGAGAGATGCCGCGGCGG